ACCCCCAGGAAAAAAAAAAAAAAAAAAAAAAAAAAAAAACCACCAGCCTGTGCTACATAGCAAGACCCTGTCTCAAAAAATTAAATATAATTAAATAAATAATGGTTGGGGATGTAGCTCAGTGCAAAGGCCCTGTGTTCAATCCCCAGTAACACAAAACCAAAAACCTTATATATATGTTTGCAGTTAAGAAATACAAAGTCCCAAGTTTGATCCCTGGTACAAAAAAGAAAAAAAAAAGACATTTAAAGATAGAGGATGAGCCTTGAGCCAGGGAACACAGGTCTGGATGCTAGAGGAGGCAGGGAAATAACCTTCCCAGGGCCTGCTGGGAAGGGGTGCACAACCTACTGATGCCTTGATTCAGCCCTGTGAGGCTCCATTGGGATCACTGGCTCTCTAACTGTACGCCTTCGAGTTTATGGTGGTTTATTGCAGCAGCTGTAGGAGACTAATACGGTGGGAGACAGTGGAAGAAACAAACCATGATCTGTAGAATCAGTCACAGCCCAGGCAGGACATACGACAAGGAACCCTCATTATTTGAGTAAGAATGTGCTCTAATGTGAAGTTTTTAACTGGTGCTGAAACAGTTAAAAGATATAACAGAGGTACAGACTGTAGGAAGCAGCTTCCAACTCTTACACAAAGGGGACAAAATGAAAAAGTTGGAATTATTAAAGTTAGAATGATGAGCCCCACCCGTCTGACCCTCAGAGGGCCTGCTTGCTGCGCTTCTGGGACAAGATAAAAAATGGGTCCAGCTGTATGTGTAAAAGACTGCGAAGAAAGAAAGGAAGAAATTTGGGCCACCAGGGCAAAGAAGCCTTGCTGGTTTAAAACTCGCTGGATCTGGAAACCTGCAGGACAGCTGGGATTCCTCCCTCGTCTCTTCCAGTCTCCCCAGAGCGCCGCCTGTTGGCAGGGATTAACAGAGCCATCTGGCTGAACAGAAATGCGGTTTGCAGCTGCGGCGTCCCAAACCCAGATGTGGGCTGGATGAGGGGCAATAACTCAAAAAGCAGCACACACGGACAATTTAAATGTGGCTAACTTTCAGTTTGAGTTTTCTGGATATTTGGAGTTTGAAACTGTTTTGGTCAGATAATTCTCTGGATGGTTTCAGTCCTTTGATATTCTGACTTGTTTTATGACCCGACCTGTAGTCCATCTTGGCAAGTATTTTATTGCACTTGAACATATATTACACTGTTGTTAGGTGGAGTGTTCTATAAATGCTTATTAAGTCAAGTTGGTTGATAACATTATTAGAATCTCTGTACTTTCTCATTTATTTATTCTTTCTTATTCCATCAGTTCCTGAGAGGCATATCTAAATCCTCACCTATGATTGTGGATCTGCCTCTTTCTCCCTTTATTTCTATCCTTGTTTGCTTCATGTATTTTGAAGCACTAGAATTTGATGCATCTAGAATTTTCCCCCCACTGGCCCTTTTCTCTCTCTGTCTCTCAGTAGCACAGGCTGGGCCCAAATGTATACTCCTCCTGCCTCAGCCTTCCAGGGAGCTGGGATTACAGACACATGCAGCCACATCCAGTTGGAACATTTTTATTTTAACTTTTCAAAGTAGCTGTTCCCTGAGCCCCTGTCAGGCTCAGCCGCAAGTTCAGAAAACTGCGCCGGATGGGTAGCTTGGTGGCTCCTGTCAGGTGCAGGCCATGCTTTCTGCTGTAACAGATGTATGCTGAAAGTATCAACTTTAATCCCCATCTGAGGTCTTATGTGGCTGTAGCATGGACTTTGGAGCCCTGTGTACCCAGTATGCCAATCTAATCCCTCATGATTCTTGGAATCTGTTTTTCCTTTTTTTTTTAAACTTGGGTGTAGTGCTCTCTTGAGATAGGGTCTTCTTTGCACTTCAGGCTGGCCTTGGGCTAGGATTACAGTCATGAACCACCATGCCTGACAATTTTGTCTTTTCTGAATTGAAGATGGTACTAAACCTCTTGAAGGTGGAGCAGACATGGCCAAAGAGGAAAGATGACCAGGGCCATTCCCCAGCATGGATGTGTCATAGGTCTCTGCTTCCTGCCTGGCTTGTGTTCCTGTCTTACACACAAGTGCCTCTTTCCTTCCCCAAGTGCCTTCTGAACTGCCCCCGAGACGGCTCCTGGGGAGGCACAGCATCCTGTCGTCCTCCCCTCCTGGACCTCCTCCTGTCTCCACCTACCTGAAACCTCTTGTTCCTCCCTCCATATCCACAGGGCCTCTCCCTAAAACCATGGTGGAAGCAGAGCATTGTTTAGGCATTCTGCAGCCCCACCTCCAGCTTCTGGAGTCCTGCACTAGGTTTCCTTTGTAGACTCATGGAAGAAGACTCGTGGAAGGGCAACTCCAACCTCTCCTGAGTAGGGGCCCTCGTGCCACAGCATACCTGGGGAGATTTCCTGGCAAGAGTTGGACAGCTCACAGAGCTGGAAAGACCAGTTGGGCTGGAACTGGCACTTGCACTGACCTGTCTCTTGCCCTCTCGTTGTTCCTGCCTTTTTCCTCCTGCAGAATTCATCCTGCAGGTGAGAGGCAGCTCCAGGCTTAGGATATTCCTGTGAAGCAACCCCAAGGCAGCCGGGCTTCTCCCACTCAGCCTCAGCATCCTGACAAAGAAGGATCCCAATAGAAGAGATTCTGTTGGTTCATCTTGGATGACAGATTCATCTTGGCATGAATTTACTTGATCAGAGGGATGAGATACTGTGATTGGCCCCAACTCACATACCACAAAATTAGGGTACTATTATTGTTGGCCTAGTAGAGCCATGTGGAATTTCAGACTGGGACTGGGGCATAGCAATGAAGCGCTTACTCCCAAAAGCAGGGCCTCTGACTAGACAGAGATGGCCGACATCACCTTGTGCCCTCTCCAAAGCATCCCCCTTACCAGAGTCCAGGCACACAAGAACTCGAATTTTGCACCTGGGGACTTCATTGGGGAGCACAGACATTGGTTTTGGAGCACAGACAGGTGTTTTTGTCCCAGGGATGGTCCCTGTGCTCTGGGCAGGGCTGGCCACACGATCCTGATTCTGTGGGAAATGCTCTGGTTGGTAAAGTCAAATATTCAAAGGCCCTGGCTCTGACCTCAGAGCTGGCTTTCAGTCTGGCTCGGCCACTTACTGTCTCTGGGCCCTTGTACAAATCACTTAACCTCCCAGAGCCTGCCTCATTTTTCTCTCCTATAAAATGATGGGGTCATTTTGGCCAGCTCTGGTGACACATGCCTGTAATCCCAGCACTCTGGGAGGCTGTGGGAAGAGGTTAGGTTGAAGCCCAGCCTGGGTGACTTAGACCTGTCTCAAAAGGGCAGGGGGTCATTTTGATGAGTCAGTGACATTTTCCATATTAAAATTCAATATTGGGCAGGGATGTGGCTCAGTGGTGCCATGCTTGCCTGGCAGGAGCAAGGTCCTGAGTTCAATTTCTGGTACTAGGGGGAAAAAAATACTGAACTTTATTTTTTTTCTCTGTATCAGGGGTTGAACTCAGGACCTTGTGCTTGCCAGGCAGGCATGGTGCCACTCAGCTAAATCCCCAGCCCTAAAATTCAGTATTTGCTTATTATGTTTTCTTTAACCTGATTGCCACAGTGACCACTCCATTCACATGTGCCTGAGAGTCTTCTGTGTTGATTTCTTTAGACTGGCGATAGCTCTCTAAGTTTGGGCCCTACTCTCCTGGGCCCTGGTATCTCAGATGACTGTCTCACAGTGGTATCCTGTTTCCAGCCATCACTGGGACAGAGGGAAGCAGGAAGAATGCTAGACTAGCCCAGCAAGGCAGTGCCCTTCTGTAAACTGAGTCTTGAAACTCCATCTCCTACTTGTCTGAATTGTAGGAAGAGTGGAGCCAAAGAGAGATTGTGAGCGTGGCCATGGCTCAGGCCCTGGAGGAGGTGCGGAAGCAAAGGGAAGAGTTCCAGCAACAGGTGGGCCCTGTGAGATGCTGAGGTGTGGGCTAAGGTGGTGATGTCCCCCAGCCCCACACTGTGGCTGTCAGGCGCAAGCCCCCTACCCGCCATCAAAGACACAGCTGTCAGGGAATGCAGTGGTCTGCGTGCTGCCCTGTAGTCTTTAGGAGCTGGGAGCACTTATTAAAAGAAAAGAAAACCTCACTCCATAGGATGCCCTTTTGGGTTTTGAGTCAGTTATTAGTGGTATTAACATTACTTGGAAAAGGCCCTCAGCAGGGACCTGCAGCTCTGATTCTGTGAGGTGGGCCCTCACCACCCCCAGCCCAAAGGCAGTCATAGGATGGTGGGTTGAACTCTGAACAGAAAGTATAGGAAAAGCCTGCCTCTGGAGACACTCAATGTCTGGTCCAGCCTGGCTGGTTCACTGGCTCTAGGCCATGTGAATCAGTGACGCCTCCGAGTCTCAGAGTCACCTCCGGAAAGACTTTCCAAACACTGGAACAAGGTGATGCACATGGGAAGCTATGGTCTAAACAGCACTGGAAAGCTGGTCAGAGCGGCCCCATCTCTGATTGGCTCACTGTGGCCCCAGAGACAGGGAGAGAGTCACCTCCCAGCAGAGAAAGGGGAATGGATTGGTGCATATCCACAGGACAGATGTTACCTTGGGTCTGCTGTACGCTGTGGACCTGGGAAAGATTTTCTGGGCACCATGGGTAGTAGACAAGTAGAGCTCCCTGTGGGAAGAGGGTGATGCTGCCAGCCCCATCTCATGCTAGTTTCTCCCCAAGGCTGCTGAGCTAACAGCCACAATCAATGAGAAAGAGCAGATTCTGCGGGAAAAGGCCGAGGTGCTTCTCCAGAAGGAGCAGGAGATCCTCCAGTTGAAGAAAGGTGAGTGGTGACTCTGCCCAGCCGGCACACTGTAGCCCAAGCCTCCAGGCTCATGCAGTACACTCCCCCTCCCACCCCAGGACACGACTCTGCCCTGCTGCAGATGCATCAGCTACAGAGCGAGCTGGACACCCTGAGGACCCGCAGAGTTCAGGAGGCCGCCCTGGCAGAGGCACGGGAGGACCTGCTGAGGCTGCAGGACCCACAGCCATGTGTAAGTGAAGCCCCGTGTCACAATGGGATCAGGCCTCACCACAGCACCCTTCCTTTATGGGGGTAGGGTGGGGCGTGGAGGCAGCACAGAAGGGCAGCTGTCGCTTGGAAGGCACTGCATGGGATCCTCTCATACTGACCTCTGGTTCCCGGGCAGCCACCTGTCACAGCACACCAAGCCACAGGCATGGAACAAGCAGGCTCCCCTCCCCACAACTGTGGCTTAGCTGCAGCACTACCTGTCCTGGCTTTCAACCTGCTGCTACCACCCTGTAGGTGACAGTGAAGGCTGCGCAGGACCCGGTATACCAGCTTTGCCTTGCAGAAGAAACACCAAATGGTGAGGTGGGGCCCATAGATCTAGGGCAGCTACAGAAGGAGAAACAGGACTTGGAGCAGCAGCTTACAGAGAAAAATAAGGTGAGGATACCTTCTGCTGTGTCTCTGGTCCGTCTCTGCCCTTGAGATTTGATTTTAGCCAAAAGGCTGAGAAGCAGCTGACCTTGCTCTCAAAAGGGCTTCCTCTTGCTTTTCATCTTCCATTTGCTGTTGCCTTATCTTTGCTGAAGTTTCTGCTGTCCCGAGTGTCAGAGCCCAGTTGTTCTCACTGTTCTGCTGTTCCCAGTTGGGGTTGACAGTACTGGCCTTGGCCTCCAAGGGCCTTTGAGGGCAGGCGGTGAAAGGAATGTGTGTGCTAACTGTCCTGTAAACAGCCTGGGGTTTGGTGGGGGCCCCAGCGAGTTCAGGGTCTTGTTCATCCTGGTTTATAGAGGCCCCTCCAGAACTTAGCGTGCTTGCTATTACTATTGCTCTGGCTTGAAATTCTACCCCCAAATTTGGGTGGGACAGGTATTAGATATTTAACAAAGTGAAGAGGCACTTAACCCCCTTCATTTAATCTCTTACTGTGAAATACAAAATACACAGGGAAGTATACAAAATAAATGTGTGGCTCAGTGGGCTAACACAAAGCAAACACCCGGACCCGCCTGGCATGAAGCAGGATGTGGCTAGCATCCCAGAGGCCAGACCTCCTTCAGTCCCTTATATCTCCCAGGGCCTGAGACTGCTCTTCTCTGGTTGTACTACCTCAGCTCATTCTGGAATTCTAGTTTCGTTTTGCCTGTTGGTGAAGTTTGCCCTTGCCACCTATCAACCTCTGTCCTTGCTGGCCACAAAGCTTTTCTACCCTCCTTACACAGCTCATGATAGCCACTGCCTGGCCACCAGCCTCAATGCTCTGGCCCCTCTCCCTGTCCTCAGGCTGTGCTGGCCAAGCCCCTGCCCCATACCTGCAGCCACAGAACCACAATGGGCTGGAGACCACTGTCCCCAGGTAGTATCTCCCAGCCCAGCAGTCCTGCCACTCTGCACACACTGTACCCTCTGCTGCCTCCCTCTCCACTTCAGTGCCCTTCTGCCTTCTCCCTTCCACCTCCAGGCCCACCCCTTCGTGTTCCCCCTCCTGCTGCCCCCTGCATCCCAGGACACCCAGGACAGACTTGAGTTTCCCCGTATTCCTAGCTTCTGCTGCCATCTTTTCCCTCTCAGGAAAAACCCAAACTCTGGAAGTCATCCTCAGCCCATGACTCCTTTCCCACTCTTTAAACTGTACCCCAAATCAGCTGCTTCTCCTTGCCACTGTTACCCAAGTCTCTGCTCTAGAATTTGGCACTGAGTTTCTGTCCGCTTTTGTTGTTGCTCCTCTTTCCCAGCCTGATGACTTTCCATGTCTCAGTGCCACTCAGAGGCTGTGCAGTGGCTGGCAAAGCCCTGTGTGGTCAGCCCTTTCTACGTCTCCTTCTCAGATCCTGTCACCTCCTCTCAGCCTGTTGGCCTAAAGCACCTGCTCTCTCACTGTAACCATGAGGGCTGCCCTGCCACCTAGGCAAATCTCCCCACCAGAACTCTTACCTTGCTGTTTCTTTTCCCTCTCAGCAGAAATTGTGTCTTTATGTTTCCCCCAGCCTCCCAAGGACAGTACCTGGCACTTAGTTGGGACTCAGTTAGTAATTATTAGATGAATTAATGGGTGGGAAACCAAGCACATAAGGTAAAATAGCAGTATACTTCCAGAGGAATGTCCAGCCTCATATTCAGCCAAGAAAATACAAATCTGGGCACAATGGTGCATGCCTATGATCTCAGCACTCGGGAGGCTGAGGCAGGAGGATTGCTGCCAGTTAGAGGCCAGCCTGGGCTACATAGTAAGTTCAAGGCCAGTCTGGACTACATAGCAAGACCTTGTCTCAAAACAAAACAAGATCTAAAGCCCATCTTTGGTGAGTTGCACAGAAAAATTATAACCTTTTACACTGCTCAAAGAAACACTGCAAATTGGGCCGGGGATTTAGCTCAGCGGTTCGGTGGCCTGCCTTGCAAGCGCGAGGACCCGAGTTCAATCCCCGGTAACAAAACAAAAAAAAAAAAAAGAAACACTGCAAATTGGGCCGGGGATTTAGCTCAGCGGTTCGGTGGCCTGCCTTGCAAGCGCGAGGACCCGAGTTCAATCCCCGGTAACAAAAAAAAAAAAAAGAAACACTGCAAATTGGGCCGGGGATTTAGCTCAGCGGTTCGGTGGCCTGCCTTGCAAGCGCGAGGACCCGAGTTCAATCCCCGGTAACAAAAAAAAAAAAAAGAAAAAAAAAAAAAAAAAAAAAAAAAAAAGAAACACTGCAAATTATTTCAGGAGTACCATACGTAGTGAATGTGAACCCTATATTCTGGCCCAGAGATCCTACTTGGGGATTATAGCACACTGGTGGAGTTCAGAAGACCAGAGCACATTCCCACAGTGGGGTCCCATGCTTGGGCTCTAGGACTGATCCCACAGAAGGTGGCAGGCAGCACTGGAGATTCCTGTCTTGCAGGGGAACTTGACAAAAGGCAGCCTCCATGTGACCTGGGCAGGCCAGGGAATGGAGGGCAGGCACCCAGGTTCACACGCATGTAACACCTTACACAGCCTCTAAGGAGGACCTCTTGGGCACACTTGTGCCAGGTACTCAGGATGCCAGGGGTGTCTGTTTTCTTCACCCCTGGAAAACGCCTGTAACCGCTGGATGTGGTGGGTGGGTTTGTCTCAGACCATAAAGCAGATGCAGCAGAGGATGCTGGAGCTCAGGAAGACACTGCAGAGGGAGCTGGTGAGTGCCCGTGCTGTTTGCCCGCGGACCCTGGCAGCCTGTCCTTCACCCGCTCCCAGCCCCAGCACATTGACACCCCACCCCACAGCAGCCCTGCCAGCATGAGCACTCCCCTGAGAAATGGCCTTAAGGCCTTGGCCCTCCTTCCCTGTGCTGTGTCCTCACCTGCAAGGGGGCTTGCTTGGGAAGTCATTGTGGTGGTGTTGGCAGTGTGCATCTGGCAAGTGACTGGCCCGAGCAGGACAAGAGCAATGCCCTGTTCCAGGCTGGTGTGCTCACTGCTCTGGGATCACACGCTTGACTTGAATAAAGAAATGTGACCTCACTCCTCCTCTCAGCTGTCAGCCCCACCTGGAGTATCTGAGCTCTTCTCCCTGGGGGCCTTTTGGCCTGCCAGGTGCAGGGAGGTGGAGGAACGGCAGGGGACTCCGTAGGCGGGCATCTCCCCTGGGTTGTACTTGCTCTTGAGGGGTCCATGAGTTTCTAGAGTCAGATCCACCTTCCCAGCCTGTGTAATGGCCACTGTCTGCCCACAAAAGACCTTTCTGTTGGTTTTCCAGAAAATCAAACCCGACAGTGAGCTCTTTGAAGTCCGGGAGAAGCCAGGCCCCGAGATGCCAAACATGGCTTCCTCTGTCACAAATAACGCTGACCTGACAGATGCCCGAGAAATCAACTTCGAGTACCTTAAACATGTTGTTTTAAAATTCATGTCCTGTCGAGAATCTGAGGTAAAGAGCTCCTAAGCTACCATTTGGGTTTTGGGCCTAGCCCTGCTTGGCGTCCTGTCCATCCCACTCCTTCCTCTCCCCCAGTCCATGTGGACACCTGGCCATTCCTCCCACCAGCCTCGGCCCGCAGAGTGAGCAGCACCAGGGAGCTGGCTCCCAGGGAAAATGTGGGCTCCCCTTCTCCATTCCAGCTCCGGTGCTGAGCCAAGTCCTGGGAACAGGTCCGCTCAGGTCGCTAGGTCTTGCCAGTCCAAGTGAAAGGTGGTGGAGGCAGAATGAGAATACGTTGTTGCTGTCAGACTTCAGAAGCCAAGAACTTCACCAACCACCTAGTCCTTGTTAACCACGGCAACAGGAAATGCTGCCATTTAGCTCCTCTGATTTCTTGCCCTACCCCCACCAAGACCCAGGGCAGCAAAGCTTACTTTGTTTCAGGCTTTTCATCTTATCAAAGCTGTGTCAGTGTTGCTGAACTTTTCTCAAGAGGAAGAAAATATGCTCAAAGAAACCCTGGAGTATAAGGTAGGCTTCTCTGATCTGCTGTTTTACTTATCTCTCCACAGGCAAATGAAACCAGCCATAGAGGCAGGTAACCAGCCACAGCTGTTTTCTTGCTTAGTTGCTTTGGGGTGATGACTTGATCAGGTGGTACTGAGGGCATCCTTTGTGCCCAAATACCTGTCTGTTCTGACTTCCAGACTCTGAATCTTTCAAAGACTTTCATTGATTTCTGACTTCCAGACTCTGAATCTTTCAAAGACTTTCATTGATAACACTTCATCAATAGGTTAAGGTTTGGCCTAGCACCTAGACTTTTGAGACAGGTGGCAGAACCACTGAGCTAAATCCCTGGCCTGCACCTAGACTTTTAAAAGGACTGTAAGGCAGACATAGTGGCACATGCTTGTAACCTAGCATTCAGCAGGATGAGGCAGGAGGATTGCCACCATCCCCAGCCAGCCTGGGCTACATAGTGAGATCAAGGCTGGCATGAACTATACTGTGAGACCTATCTCAGAAGCCTTGCATGTGCAAGGCTCCAGGTTCAATTCCCAGCACCACAAAAAAATTTCAAAAGCACCTGAATAAATGTGTAACAGAGAAAATTTTCACCTACCCACTTTCTCTCATTTCCTTTGCTTACTTAGAATGGGCTCCCCACCCAGCAGATTGAGCACTGGAACCATCTTCATCCTCTGCTCGAAGCCAGTCAGGATGCCTGGAGGGGCAGAGCCGATGGCCCAGGGAAGGGGAAGGGCTGTTTCTGCCACCTTTGCACCCACCCTACTTCTCAAGATCCTTTTTTGTTTCACACACAGATGTCCTGGTTTGGTTCCAAACCAGCTCCCAAGGGCAGCATCCGGCCATCTATCTCAAACCCTCGGATACCATGGTCCTAGAGGAACACCCAGGGAAGAGCTCCGTGGCTTGACACCTTTTTCTGTGAAAAGAACACTGACTGACACACCAGTGTGGGTGGGTTTTTAATCACTGTAATTGCAGTATTTTGTACATGTGTCTAAACATTGTTTACAAGACTTAAGGCCCACCTCCCCGCAGGCTGACATGAACCCCAGAAGGGAGCTGATCCCATGTCATTCTGCTCACCAAGTGAGAGGGTCCCAGCACTACCCAGGTTTCCAGAGTGCTGCTAACATAATACCCGGTCCTGACCAGCTCACGTCTATACCTGAGTCCTCTTAACATTAGTACTTAAAGCTGAAACAAGAATTCAGCATGTCAGGAGGCAGCTGACTCATCGTGAAGGGGACACTGGAGGTAGAAACCGCCCTTTGGAGTGGTGCCCAGCAAGTCAGCCCCACCTGCTCCTCCACGGAAAGCCACCTCAAAAGAATGACTTCATAGGTCTCTCACAGCCTTTGGGTTCAGAAGAATTAGAAGAGGCTTTTAATCCTTCCTCTCAAAAACACATCATTTGTTTCAACAAACCACCTACAACTTGAGATGGGCCAGAATGGATTAATGAAGAATATGCAACTTCCTGATGTTATCTCCATTTTGCTTAAAACTAGCAAACAGATAAAAGGCCCCAAGTATAGTACCAAATACACTCAATTGCCTTTTTAATGAATGTACTTGTCTTGGATAGGTTGCTGGTAAACCATTTTAAACTATTTTTTATAGCTAAACTTCTTTGCTATTATAAACATGTCTTCTTTATTATAAAATCCACTTAATTGGTATTCTTATAGAAAAACCAGAGCATCAAGAGGAAACTATTTATAAAACTAGGGTCCTGTCCCTTTGTAATTTTGCCAGCCTTCTGTGGAACATGCTCTCTGGAGCAGTGGTGGTATTTCATCTGCTTTGTTCCTAATTCTGTCTTTCTATCACTGAGCAAATGTTAATCACACCTTTTTACCAGAGGACAATCCGCTGAATTCAACAAAAGTAGCAGCTGTCCCTTCTTGCCCCAACCATGACCAGACATTAGAGTCATCTATTTAGTTTGCAGAGCTATCCCTCCCTCCCACCCTAGCCCTCTACTTAGGGTGACACTACATTCACACCTGCCATCCACACAGCCACAGCTGGCTGCAGTACCTGATAGCACACACACCTCTGGCAACAGCCGACATACACTTGTATGTGTTGTCACACTACTTGTGGAGAAGCCACAGCATCAAACCTAAAGGGCAACTGTTTCATAGTTTGATGAAGGTTTCATTGGCAAATAAACTGAATTAACCGGAGCTCCTAGATTTATTATCATTTTCTAACTACACTTATGTTTCTCAATTATGCTTAAGGTAAAAAATACATATACACACACACACACACAAAAACAAAATCCCACAGAAAAGTACTGCAGAGTTTACCCACTAGAGTTCCAGGTAGCATCAAGCCAGGATATTGCCACCTTGGCTCAGCTCAGGCTCTGCCATCCAGAACTGTTCTCCTGTCACCTACATGTGGCTCTGCAGTCTGTGCCCTTGAGATTGCTACTTCCCACTCAGGTGGGACATGAAACAGGAGTCCCTCCTGTTCTCTCATGAGTAAGAGGTAGCATCTTATCCAAGTAGGATCTCCTCCCCTCCAGCTATTCCAGGAGCAAAGCCTTGGGCACCTGGGTGGTCCCTGGCTTGCCACCCGTGGCTGCAGCCCCTCTCCCCTAGGGTTCCTCTATCCCTTGCATCCCTGGCACTGTCTCACCCCATACCCCACTCCCCAGCAGTTTGAAGTTGACTGGCTTAGGGAAGATTCCCTCTGACTAGGCTTTCTTCTTGCATGATGAATTTCCTTCAGCTTTAAGGGGAAGAGTGGAATAAATATTCCGAGTGATTTAATGCACTTTTACTTGTATAAAACTTTCTGTGATAGACAGTATATATACCTTTATATAAGCATTGGATCTTCATCTCCCAATGTTGTAAATAGGACTGTGTAATCTAAAACCTGCTGTAGAAAACTCATTTGTGGTGCAATACATTTTTTTGATTAAAACTCTTTAAGCCAGATACAGCAGTGGGTTTCTCTTGGTATGGTTTGATATGTTAGTGTTTCCTGGACTGTTAAATCTAGTACATTGTATCTTGTACTTAAAACTTCAAGGGCTACACCTTTATCTTTCAGAAGGATCCTCCCCAGACTGGGTTTGGGCAAATAAATACGTGTAATTTTAATGAAACCAACAGCCTAGTCCTACCTCCCAAGCATCCCAGTGGTTCTGCAAGGAGCTGGGGAGGCGGAAGCTTGTCAGTTTGGTGGAAGTCTACATACATTCAAGGCTGCGTGACCTGGGAGGGCTTCAGAAGGACGAATGGGGTTCTCACCATTGCTGTTTCTGGAGTTGTTCTTCAAAGAAACTTAGCAGGACACAGCGCAGGTCCACACTCAGAAGACTGTAAGTGTAATCACAGAAACTGAAGACTTTTAAAGCCTCGATCAATTATTAAATGTTTGGCACTTTATTAAATTAAATAAGCTCCAAAGTTACATACAAATCAAAGGAATAAGAAACAATAAATAGTATTCAGCAAAACACCTCTCCGTGGCAGCAGAGTGTGCCGAGGCTCAGGGGATTGCCGTGGCAGGAAGGCCTAGAGATTGCCATGCTCGCTCCCCAGGGATGGTGACACAGGGACACATCTACCCTTCCACATCACATTTCCAGAACAGTCGAACTCTTTCCTTACCATCCCCTCATTACCACTTTTTACATACAGGAAACACACCGCAAGGGTTATACTAATAAGCCAAGAGCTTTATTGATGCAGCAGGCACTTTACAATGAACCCGAGCGTCTGCCTTCTCTGGGAAGACAGGATGTCTGTACAAACTCTCGGGTTTACCCACTTCTGAAAAACAAATTCTCCCTTTCACCACAGCCCTTGGATCTGCACCTGCCCAAATCCCCCCCCATTTCAAACAGGCAGTGCACACAGTAACACCTGACCGACACGGGCCAGCCACTCTGCAGACAGTCAAGGGTCAGTTCTACAGAACTCTGTAGACAGAGGCAGACTCGGATCCTGCAAAGGATTTAGAGATTCTCCCTCCACCTCGAAAATAAAATACATTTCAGCAGATTCATGTCCTGAAATTTGTAGTTGGGAGTTCCTAGGAAGATGGTCCATTGTCAGTCCAGCCTGGGCATCGAAAATTCTTCAGGGTAACATGAGTTCTTTTTGTTTTTTTGTTTTTAAACAGTCTTTCTTGCTGTAAGAACTCTTATAATGGAGCCTAGTCCTCCTACAGCTAAGGCCTGTGGGGGCAGGAAAAGGAACAAGTCAGATAAGACTTGGCCAGAGGGAGCCTGGCTCGCCAGGGAGATGAGAGCGCCTACTCCTCCTCCTGGACCTGGATCCTATCAAGCCATGGCCCCTCTGATAAAGGAGCCCTACAGCCAAGACCATGGAGTGGGGAAGGAGCCCTGTCCTGCAGCCAAGGCCCCAACAATCAACCACTCGGGCAGAACTGGCTTGGAACACTGTCCCCAAGCACACAGCACAGCCCAAGTTTCTCATCACTTCCCAACTTGGCAGGCCCTGGGCAAAGAAATGTACACCAGCCCATGAGAGCTGCCTGCCAACAGGGGGGACACCAAGTTGCCTAAGAGAGATGAAAGGGCCCGGCCTCCACACCACACAGAGGACTCGCTCACCCTCAGAGTACCGCTGCCAACTCCACCTGCCAAGCCCAGGGAGGCTGGAGGCACAGCCGCGGCCCAGCACCTTGACTGCCCACCAGTAAGAAGTACCCTTAAAACAATGCTGAGCCCCTGGGGAAGGAGAGTGTTAGTGACAGCCCGGTCCCTTTCAATGGCCAGTGTGTCCGCTGTGGTGCTCAGGGAGTAAGGGGTAGTGTGGAACACAGTGGCACCTAGGCTGGACATGGGCATGACCAGAACCAGAACCCCCCAAGCAGAGGATGCACACAGCTTTTTCTGCTTCGGGCTGATGAAAGCCACATTAAAGGACCAAGTTTTCTGCCCACTGCACTGGCTGAAGAAGCTGAGGCCAGGTAAGGAAGCCCTTCAAGCTGGCGGGAGGGCTCAGCCTGCATTCCTGAGTATCCCACACCCTTCTCAGCTGTTTACACCAGGGCAGAGAAAGTGTCACAAAGCCCTCACCAGCAGGCCTTCCTCTGACCTTACCATGCCACAGCATCTGCCCCCACTCCCCGTCTGGTACCCAGGGCACCCTGTTCTACCTGGCATACATCTGCAGCTAAAAAGCAAAAGCAACCATGATTTCCACAGACAGCAGGTGAAGCGATCCATGCCCGTCTCACAAGCTGTCCGACTGTCCTACCTTCTTCTGAAAATGTGGCCTGCTGGCGTGAGCCCTGGGTGAGGCAGCAGACCCTGCAGAGGTGACGCGTTCACGTACCTTTTCATGCCACTGGAGTAACACTGCGCTGCTGTTTTCTGTGGGTTTCTCAAACCCTTTATAAATGTACTTCATTAACAAGTCAATGCCATTTCTGTCCAGGGACTGCACAGCCTGCTCGATCTCGCTGCTCTTAAAGTTTGTGAGCACTTTCAGCACCACACCCTGGGCTCGTTCCTACAGAAGTAAGAGAGGTGAGGTCAGGGCACAGCCAAGGCCCCCAGTGTGGGCACAGGTGTATCAAACAAGGCAGAGCTCACCAGCAACGCTGACTGATCTCTAATTTATCTAGGATGGTTAAAAAGAAATAAGCTAAATAAAATTCTTTTATTGCTTCGTATTTTTATGTATTTTTTTGTTTTCTGAGACAAGGTCTTGCCGGCCTTGAACTCAGCAATCCTCCTGCCTCAGCCTTCCGAGTGCTGAGATATAGGAGGGGCCACTAGGTCCAGCTAAACTTCAGTGTTATTCCACTAATTTTGGAGAGGATAAATGGTTTACTGGTCACTTTTTCTTTAAAGACAAAGTCTCACTACATAACTCAGGCTGGCCTCAAACTCTTGGTCCTCCTGCCTTACCCTTCCAAATACGTGCCACAATGCCTGGTTTAGCTTCACTACTCGGGATACCAGCATGGCCTTAAACTCCACAGAATCACTATCATGGAGGGTCATTTTAAAAACAAAAGGCCCCCACAGGTTTACTTGGGTATAGTCCTCCCCCTGCAGGTACCCAGTAACTGAGGATGCCCTTCCTTTCCACCTCTGCCAAGGTGTGACCACTGGTCACTACACTCCTCTACCACAGATCCAACCCCAGCCACAGAGGCCCCTCTCCCTGGACCAAGTTTTAGCACTGGTAAGGCAGTGAGAATAATGCTCTTTCCTCCCAGTTTTTGAAAGGCAGGAAACCCAAAAAAGCACTCCAAACCCTTATGTAGATAAAAGCCTATTCAATTGCCTATAAAAGCATAACTGCTGATAAGCCCCACTTGGCAGCCAATTTATCTGTTTTGCTCATCAACAAGGGCTAAACTGACTTCTCACTCCAGAAGCCAAAGGGAGAAGGAAACAGTTTCTTTGGGGAGCTTTTATGATACAGCAGTCAGCCGTGTTGCTAGGGGTGTAGCTCTGGGGCAGAGCACTTGGCATACAGCAAAAACAAACAAAAACACAAAAATCAGACAGCTTTGAAGTGCAGAGTCTGAGTGCCAGCACTGCCCAGGCCCCATGGAGCTCACTGCCATCTGGGGAGACACCAGACACCGCGCAACACCCAGCAGAGCTGCAAGACCCCTTTACCTTCACGGCTTGATTCTTGGTGTTGACCGGAGAGGCGCCAGGCTGTACAAAAACACAAAAATCAGACAGCTTTGAAGTGCAGAGTCTGAGTGCCAGCACTGCCCAGGCCCCATGGAGCTCACTGCCATCTGGGGAGACACCAGACACCGCGCAACACCCAGCAGAGCTGCAAGACCCCTTTACCTTCACGGCTTGATTCTTGGTGTTGACCGGAGAGTTCCGCAAGGCTGCATGGAAAGCCCGAAGCATGTCTCCTGTGCAGCAGCTCCAGTTAAGGATGGCTGGGCTCACGTGCGGCCACACTTTCATTAATGGACTGACCTCAAGAGCAGCTCAAGAGCAGACTCGGCCACTGACCACCCACTGCTGCCTCCTCACCGTGGGCACAGCCTGACTACAGCCTGCTGCTTTCCTGAGCCACAGGGACGGTGAAAGGCACCTCTGCCAGCCTTCCTTCTGCCTCCTCCTAGAGGCTCCCCCTCCAGCAACTGCCCTTGCAGGGAACTGCAGTAAAACCCCATGGAGCCTGCAGCACCCACTCAGTGCTAGGCAAGGTTCCTGCCCCACTGGGTCCTCAGCCACTGTGCACACAAAGTCACTCTTGCTTTCAAAGGGAAGAATGAAGGCCCAAAGAGGTCTAACTCTTCACTCAATGCTGCTTAGCAGTTACATTACTAAAGAAATCAAGATGCACTAAAACTCTACCCCCCAGGTCAATGAGGTCCCAACTGCTACAAGAACCTTTTGCCAGTGCCTCTGCTTCCCCACCCCCAAACCTTAGTCGCAACCCTAACATCACATTCTCTGCCAAGTTCTAAATACCCAGCACGCAAAGAAAATTACAATCTGGGTTAGGTCCCCAAAGGTGACACCTATTTTAAACTGAATTACATCAGCCGACTTTCATTTCCTCATGTGAAACACTGGCTTCAGCCAAAAAGCTTCAAAAATAGAACAAGGAATGGTTCTGCCCAATCGGGTCTTTACTCCTGTTCATGCAGCAATCCCCACATGTGAGCAGACAGAGCCCCTGGGGAAAGCTGAATTCCCAGCTTCCTTAGTGGGGGCTCCATCTAGAGAGCTGGGTCCACCCCCAGGCAAGCCACTCCCAGCACCCCACCCCCCGCTGCCCAGCTCCCTCCTTGGCTCTGATCCACCTTCACTGAGAAAGGCAGCCCCCCACCCTCCCCAACCAGAGCCAGTCCTGAAACCAGCCACTGGTAACCTGCACCTCAAAGCTCTCTTCTCAAGTGTCCCAGAACAAAAGCAGGCTCCCGGGGGCTTACTAGGAAATGTAGACTAGCACCCTCTTCACTTCTGCCTGGCACAGTCAGCAAGCACAATCACTCAGAAGGTGGATGGACAAGAGGAGCAGAAGACTTAAATGGTCTGCAGGGGCCAAATACTGCTTTAGTTAGCTCCCTGCAGCACCAGCCTGTCAAGCAAGCACTGCTCAGGAAGTCTGGGGAGCAGGGAGGGTGTTCCTGCAATCCGATCATTTATGAAACTGGCCTCCATCCCTAGCTGCTTAGGCCCTTGCAACAAACAGGCATGATGGTTTGGGAGACCCTGATTTTTGCCACGGCACCAAGGACATTTTAGACAGGATGAGTCTCTGATGTAGGATCTGTCCTATGCTTTGCAGGGTACATGGCCTCTACCCGCAAGATTCTAGTAGCACCCTCAAGCTGTAACAATTAGAATGTCCCTGAACATTGCCAAATTTTCTGGGAGTAGGAGTGCAGAAGCACTCAAAACCACTGCTCTAGGGCTGGGGAATTAGCTCTCTGGCACTGCGCCTGCCTCGCAAGCAAAAGGTCCTGAGTGTGATTCCCAGTACCAACAAACAAACAAACCACTGCTCTAGACAGACTCCTGCTGCAAGGACCGGAAGCTGCTTCACTGATGAAGAGCCGAACTAGTAATACTTTAGAACTGCCACAAAGTCTTGGATCTTCAGCCAATTCACATGCATCTCATTCCAAAACTCTGGGACAACAATCACTATCTCCATTTTGAAGACTATGAAACCAAGGCTCTGAGAAAGAAAATCACCTGGCCAAGGTGACAAAGCTGAGGCGTCCAGCTGGCTTGCACAGCCAAACTCCTGCTCTAATCCCTCGCTGCTCACCTACCCAGACCCACGCTGCTTGCCCAGACACTTGCTGTTGTGCCCAGACATGTTCTCCTAGAACTGGCAAGGCCATCATCGTGTTGTCCTTCATTTCTCAAAGGGTGATGTGGAGGCCAAGAGAGAGGGTATGTGACCTATGCAAGGTCCATGGTGCCCTCTCCTAAAGACTCTTAAAGGCTCTATAGTTTAAATTCAAACACCTAATGTAAATCCAAGGGTTGGCACATGGTAGGAACTCAAATATTAATTCCTTCCTCCTCCTACCTAGAGCCCATTTGCCAGGATTTCACTTCTCATCTGCTACCCTCCCTTTCCCCAATCCCAAGAGGTACTCTCCATGGTAACAGGCTTCTGACAATAGAGGCAAAGCTACCATCCCCTGCACATTCTAAGCAGCCTAAGACACCTGACTATGACTAGCTGGGGACTCATGGACACGTGACTTTCAACAAGTCCCTGCAGCAGTAAGACCAAGGTAGCAGCTGGCCACGCCAGTCTCTTCATCGGTTGAATGAGGGTTCTGGGCCAAAGGCCTGGCTGGTGGTGCTTTTCCAGCCATCTCCTGCCCAAAAGCCAGGTCCTGCACAGGACTAAATAACCAACCTTCCCTCCAGGGGTCCGTTCTCATGACCCCATTTCATCAGTAGGGTAAGTGAGCAATCTGGATGGAACAGGAAATTCAAGTTTAAATCTCCACCTCTGAGGGCCGGGATTTA